TCATCAATTTATTAAATTCTCACCAAAAAATAGTGGAGATAAAAACAACGTTCCACATTTTTCATTTTTATCGCAAATTTCAAATCGCAAAATCAGAGGAGATAAATCAAAAAGCCACAAATCACAAATATCACAAACTTCTCACAATAAACTGAACTAAAAATTGTAAAGAGAAAGCCATTCCATCAAAAACGAGCATAAGAATTACATATGGAGCACAATAACTAGAGATCGAAAGGAAGAGGGAGAGGAGAAATGCAACCACCAAAGAAAGGTGTGTGAGAGGCTCGAGAGAAGCGTGATATAGGCGCGAGAGAGAAACGAGAGAGAGAGAAGTACCTAGGGTTCGCAAGAGTGATCAAGAGAGCCGCGAGATCGAGAGAGGTACATAGGGCAAAAGAGATGCGAGAGAGGGAGCCAGGGGTCGAGAGGGTAGCGAAGTAATAACTTCACGAACAAACGCGGGCCGCTGGTTTGTTAAAACTCAGGTCGCAGGGTCGAACCCGAGGCCCGTGTTTAACACAGATTATTAGGAAAAGCCACCGCGTTGTAAGAACCAAACGTTTCAACCAACATTTTCAAAGTGCACCGCACTAAATAAGTTGTCAAACAGGCCCTAAAACATCTACTCTCCTAACTTGATCATCAATTGATTGACATTTAATGTGACTGAATCATCTAAGACTATTCTCTCTAATCTTGTCTGCCACTGAAGCTACAGCAACCCTATCACGGATATATTCATTTTGGATTTTGTCTCCAAGTGTCAAGCTGTAAAACCACTTATCCACCCAAGCATTCTCATCTCAGCAACACTTAACTTTGTATTATGATTCTCTTTTAAAGGCTAACATTTTGCGCCATAAAGCATTGCAGGTCTCACAATCATCTTGTAAAAAATTTCTTTTCATTTTAAACGATACTTTTCTATCACTTTTCTATCACACAATAGACACACAATAGACACGATGCATTCCTTCACTTCAACCAACCAACTTGAATTCTACTAATAACTTCCCCATCTATATCATCATCACTTTGAACAATAGACTCAAGATATCTAAAATGCTCACACTTTTTAATGATTTGATTACCCATAGTTACAATCTTGCTACTAGAGCTATGACTTCTAAAATTACATTCTAAGTATTCAGTTTTAGTTATACTCAAACGAAGTCCTTTAAACTCCAATGTAGACCTCCATAATTCAAGTTTTTCCTGAACTTTTTCTCTAGTCTTATCCACAAGAATGATATCATCAGCGAAAAGCATACACCAAGGTACATCCTCTTGTAAATGTCTAGTAAGAGCATCCCTAACTAAAGCAAAAAGATTTGGGCTTAAAGTCGATTCTTGATGTAATCCAACTGAAATAGGAAAATACTTGGTCAATCCTCCTTCTGTTCGAACACAAGTAACAACTATAGTATACATATCTTTAATGACTTGAATATAAGTCACATCAACACTTTTCTTCTCTAGAACTCTCCAAGTAACAGCTCTAGTATAAATTAGTTGGATGTTAATTTTAAATTTATTCAATTGTTTATTTTTTAAAATTATAAAATCATTTGTTTATAACTTATATAAAAATTTAAATATTCAATTAGAATTTTTAAATTATTTACTAGCTTTATATGAAAAATCAAGTATAAATAAAAAAAAAATTTATTTTATATCAAAAGTTATGTACTTATTTGAATTTTTGTCTTGCTCAATTAATATAGACAAGTCAAGTATAAATCAAAGTACAAACATTAAGCAAACCAAGTATTTACATGTGTGAAAGCTCTGGTCAAGTACAAACTGAACATGAACAACTTATAATTTGACCAAGCTATGTCCAATTCCTGACATACTCGACTCGACTAGGCTTTTGATTATAGCCCTAAAGATAACCAAATATTCAAAAGAGTTAAATAACTTGTAGGACGAGCTAACCACCTCATCCTAAGAGTGAACTAAATAGTTGTTGATGTAGTTAAATTTATGAAAAAATGTGCAATATTAATAACTATGCCCTAAATTCATGCTCAGATTGGCACTCTATAACTTATAGTGGGCTCTATTTAGAAGCATTTCGATCATTCTTACTAGCACTCCATTTTTTTGAGGATTCCCATGATAGTATTAATTCTTGATAAGACCCCCTTCTTAGTTATAAGAATGAATAAGTCTTTGTTGGATGCCAATCACTTGATCGATGTCTGTCCCCAATTTCTTGATCATCTTTCATATTTTCTTCTCATTTAAGTCTTCTACTTTATTTATCAACTACCTCACTTTTGTATTTGACAATATAGACACTGACCTTTCTTAAAAAAAATATGGGCATTTACATACATAGCACACAAATCTCATGTATTTGTGTATCTCACACCTAAACTTTTATATTTAAACTTTTATATTTACATGTGTATAACACTCAAATTTTTAATATCACATAAAAAATAGCACTAACCACCTTTTAAAAGTAAAACACACCTTCTCATTCTTTGGTTTTAAACACCCCAAAAAATGATATGTATTTAAATATGAAAGTCTAGGTGTGAGATATGTGAATGCATAAGAATTGGTGATACGTATGTGAATTTCCCAAAAAAATATTTATAGACATCAACATGCATGTAGATTCATTCATTCACTGAAATTATTAAGATCAAACAAATTTTCCTTAATATTGTACACAATGCCGTTCTTTTAAACTCATAATAATCCTCATACATATGGAGGGAAATTCAAATATCATGATAGGAAGGAAATAAATAAAAATGCAATAATAAATAATTAAGGGTGAATAATTTCTCCCTCTCAAATGTAGCAGCGGACCCACAGTTTCCTAAATCGTGTGTGGGCCCATGTGGACCACGATTATATGCATATAAGCACCCCCTCAAGTTGGTTTGTATATTTCATACATCCCAACTTGCTGCTGAGATTACCGAAGTAATGTAGTGGAAGTGTCTTGGTAAAAATGCCAATAATTTGATATTGAGTTGGGAAATAGCTTAGCTGGACAACCACTCCATTGACTATCTCAGAGATGAAGTGCATACCAATCTCTATATGTTCGGTTCGATCATGATATACCGGAATCTTTGAAATATTGATGGTTGATTAGCTATTATTGAACATCTTAATAGTGTTTTTGTTCTCTATGTGCAGTTTCATTAGTAATTTCTTTTACCACATCCCCACATAAATTCTTAAGGTCAAGGCACGATACTCAGATTTCGAACTACTTCTTGCCACCACAGCTTGTTTTTCACCTCTCCAAGTAACCTGGTTACCCCATACAAATGAACAATAATCTGTGATAGATCTTCTGTTAGTCAGTTCTTCTACCTAACTTGCATCAGTGTAGATCTTAATGTTATAGTTATCAGTTTTCTTGAATATCATTGCATGTCCTACAGTCAGCTTCAGGTACCTCAGGATTTGAAAGCGTTTCTAAATGATTTTTATTTGGATCATTCATATGTTAACTCATTATACCCATACAAAATATAATGTCAGGTTTTGAATGTGACAAATAAATAAGTTTTCTCACAGATCTTTGATCTCTCTCTTTTTTAACTTGAGATGTTAATCTTTTCGTTTCATGTTCGTCAATTGGGATCTATATGATTATCTATTGGTTTGCACCCCAACATTTCTATCTTTTTAAACAAATTAATTATATATTTTCTCTTGGATATGATAATGTTTTATTTGGATCTAGCTACTTTCATTTCTGGAAATATTTTAAAGTTTAAGATCTTTGATCTCAGACTCAAAAAATCATCATTCCTTTGGTTGTTTTAAGTTAACCTTACGATAATGCCTGTATGAATAATGTCATCTACATATACAATAAGGTTGACTATCATACATTTTTTTTTTATTTGATTTCATAAACAAAATGTGATCAATCTGACATTGATAGTATTCATTTGTAAGAATAGTCCCAGTGAATATTTCAAATCATGCTCTGGGAGATTGTTCCAACCCATATAATGATTTTCTTAGTTTGCACACTAGCTGATTATTTGTATTGTTTTTTAATCCTGAAGATATCTCCATACATACTTCTTCCTCAATATCCCCATTAAGAAATCCATTTTTTTATACCTAGTTGATCTAGAGGACAATCCTAGTTGATAACCAATGATAGTAATACTCTTATTGTGTTGAGTTTCTCCATTGGCGCAGATGTCTCATGGTTATCGATCTCATAGGACTGAGTGAATTTTTTTGCTATGAGTCTAGCGTTGAACTTTTCTATACTCTCATATGCTTTGTTTTTAACATTGAAAACTCATTTGCACCCTATAGTTCTTTTCCTAAGTGGAAGAGTTATGATTCAGATACCATTCTTTCCAAAGGAAAGAATCTCTTATTTCACAATATTTTTTCAATTAGGAATACGTAAGGCCTCTTGAATTGAATTTGAGACCTCTACATTATCCAAGCTCTGAATAAAAGATTTATAAGAGGATAAATTTCCATAGGTTACAAATTCTTCTATCGGGTGTTTTTCCTCTAGGGTGACCCAACCTCTGTGTGAATATTTGGCGTGTGTGGAGGTGGTTTCGTTGATTGACATTTGTGATTTTGCATATTGTCTCTGACATGCTCACTAGGTTTTTTCTTTCTGGTGTACACAAAATTTTGGTTTTTTTCGTGGGAGATGCGGGATGATTTAGTAGAATAGTAGGTTCATTTTCAAATTGATTTGTGATTGTTGGGACAAGAATGTGTTCATCAGGAATATATGGGAAGTGAGCTTGAGGTTTCTGAATGGTTTCCCAAATATGATATTCTTTCCAACTCTTTTCTTGAATTTTAGAATTGGGGTAATATGATTGATTTTTAAAGAAGATGACATCCATGGAATTGTAGAATTTTTGTGTTCAAATAGCATTTATACCCTTTTTTGTTTGAAGTGTAGCCCACAAAATGCATTTGTTTGACTTGAGTTCACATTTGGTCTGATGTGGTTGATGTAGATGAACAAAAGTGATGTAACCAAAAATTTTTAATGGTATGTTAGAGATGATGGACTGAATGTGATGATATAATTTTATGAGGGTGTTGAGAGTTTTGTTAAAGTTTAGCATTCTGCTAGAGATTTTATTTATGAGATAAGTGGATGTGAGATCTGCATCCTTCATAAGTATTTGGGTACATTGTTAGTGAACAAAATTAAACGGCCCACTTTGAGGAAATGTATATTCTTTCTCTCAGTCATACCATTTTGTTAAGGTGTGTCAATACAAGAGCTTATGTGAATGATTTAAATTTTTGATAGATAAGGGTCTAGAGTGGAGCTGTAGCAATCTTTTGCATTATTGATTTTGAGAATATGAATTTTGCTTTGAAATTGGGCGAGGATCATTTTGTGGAAGTTTATAAATATGTTGAAAATTTTTTATTTTTCCTTAGTGAGAAAGGTCCCAGTGGCTCTAATGTAATTATTAATGAAAATGCCAAACCAACTAACCCCATTTATATATTTTTATTGGGCACTATTTTGGTATCTATATCAATTACTAAAATGGTTTGTTGACATTTGATTAGATTAATTGGTCAGTTTATGACTAATTTATTTTCTTGATAATTGATGAAATGCAAACTAGCTTAGTTAATCAACGATACTCTGATTTTATTTAATAAGAAATGTGTTACTTTGAAACTAAATCAAACCATATAAATAGTCAGTGCACTATTTGTGCATTTATTCAGGTAATTAATTTGATTTTTTTCTATTTTTAATTAGATTAATTGACCATCTTATGACTATTTATTAAACCAACGATTAGTGAATAACAAATCAGCATAATTAATCAAATAACTTGTTGTTTTTTTTTGTTAATTTAAACAAAATAAATTTGACCAATTAATTAAATATATGATATTTTCTTAATTCTCAATGCATATTTAATAAAAAAGTTAACTTTGTCATTATTAATATGACTAATTAGCCTTTTTTTTATTTGGAATGGTGAGTAAATAAGTCGCCAAGGGTGTTGCTCAAATTTGTAACCATGTAGAAAGAATTGAGTCGCTAGGAGCCTAGGCCAGGGATTTTCTCATTAATTATTTAAATTTATTATCATAATCATTAATTGATGATGTCATCTACTAAGCCATGACTAATTAAAGAATGAGATAAATGTTAAATTTGTTTTTAGCCATAATTAAAGTTGAGCCAAACTTATTTTTCTTAGATCATAACCTCAAAGTTATTACTAATTTTTTAGTTAAAAATTCAATTAACCTATTCTTTATTTAATTAGTTAGCTTCGTTATCATATAAAATCTATGATTTACCAAAGTAACTATATTAATTATTAATTAAATTAAATTTAATTAGCCTAATTATAATTCTTTAATTAACTTTAAATAATTTCCTTAATTTATTATCATATTCATTTTATTAATTGATATCTATTCAGATAATTTCTAAAGAAAAAGTTCCTTGGTTAACTTTACATTATTTTGTTGGTATTATATGCAATCGCACAAAAGATGTTTTCTTGGCACTATTTGAAGCTGAGTTCCAAAAGTAGGAGCTCGTTAAAAAGCATTTTTTCTTTTAACTGGAGAAATAAATATAAGTCTTGCTTAAATTTATGTACCTTGGTTTACTATTCTAAATTTGGCTCTTTTAATCCCGCTAATGGGAATATAAGGTGTGCTTAAATTTGTCAAAATTTTGTTAAGATTATGGATTAGATTATTTTAACCCCACTAATGGAAATTTGTGCTCTCAACTGGTGTATTTTATCAGATTAAACTAATGGGAATATAAGGTGTGCTTAAATTTGTCAAACTTTTGTTAAGATTATGGATTAGATCATTTTAACCCCATTAATGGAAATTTGTGCTCTCAACGTGTGTATTTTATCAGATTAAGATTAAAGGTGAAGCAAACATTTCATACATTTGTTCTCGTTACTATCGTGCTCCAGAGCTCATATTTGGTGCAACAGAATATACTACTACAATTGATGTATGGTCCGCAGGCTGTGTTCTTGCGGAATTATTACTTGGCCAGGTTAGTAATTATTTTGTTACTTGCATGATCCGAATTTTAGTATTAGCCGGGGTTTCTGTTTTCAAATGTTATTGGGAAATTTACATGCATACCACACAATTCTTATGTATTTACATAACTAAACACCAAAAGTTTGATATTTACACTTATAATACTTTATTGTCATGAAGTTATGCATGAGAATTTACATTTCACTTTTTAAAAGTTAATAATGGTGGTATTTTTGATGTGATGTTAAGGTTTTTAGTGTTTTAAATGTAAATATGAAAGTTCAGGTGTTAGATATGTAAATACATAAGAATTGTGTGCTATGTATGTAAATGCCCCAATTTTCTTGCCCTTTTTATTAAGATGTTTTTTTACTGCTTCCCAGCCGCTCTTTCCAGGCGAGAGTGCCGTCGATCAGCTTGTTGAGATAATTAAGGTGAAGCTATTTTATTTTTTAAATCCCAATGGAGTGAATGCTATTTTATTTGATGAAAACCAAAGTTTAGTTCGAAATACTTTGCTGCTTTTTATAGGTTCTGGGTACCCCTACAAGGGAGGAAATTCGATGCATGAATCCAAACTATACCGATTTCAGGTTTCCGCAGATCAAAGCTCACCCCTGGCACAAGGTCTGCATCTTTTAGATTCTCTGAATAATTTTGTTATTTTAAAATTTTTTAACAAAATCCAAGTGTTTGTTGATTGAAATAAACTCTATCTAGTAGTACTATAAATGTAGTTTTAGATGAACCTTTCCTTGATTAGGTAATGGTAACGTTTGTAAACAATCTATAGATATGAAAGTCATATTATTTTAATAATTTTGAAATTAACTTAATTAAGTTTTTTAGTTTATTTAGTATATGTATATTATATATTAAAATTGTTTTTGTTTTGTTTTCATTGGTAAGTTAGAATATTTATTAACTCTATATAATCAATACAATTGTCCTAAAGCTAACCAATTGTAAGTCTCATAATTTAGCTCATTGTGTTAGCACATACATTAATGTATGAATGACATTGTTGAAGACCAGTGTGATTATATCGCTTTCCGTGAGAGATTGGAACATAAAGGTGTCGTGTATGATCGTTGAAATATATTGCTCATCGAGTTTGATATATTTGAGATGTGTTATTATGTTATAACTGATTGATATCAGTGACCAAGAAAGAGATGTTGATGACATCCAGAATTTAGGAATGATTATGTAACAAGAGCCTATATTATGTAATGAATGATTTGCTATGGCCTAGCATATTCTATATTAGCTTAAATCTCACGGTTTTAGCCATATTGATGTAGCTTTCGAAGAACTATATTGAAAGTTCCCAGTTGAGCTTGCTTAACTGTGGTATTTTAGAAGAATTCCAATTGTTACACCAAAAAGCATCTCACACTTTTGGTTTAACTCTTTATTTATATAACTTTGTAATCTTTCTTCCCCGTCTAATGTAAGAGTTTATTCATTCCTACTCTCCATTTCTTCTAAAAGTCTATCATATAGAAACTTTTGATCGTTTAGGTCCGAGATCCATTGATTATTCTTCCTCTTCAGCTCTCATTTTGTGCTGAATTTTGTGGTATTTTTGATAGTGTGTAACTTCTTAGGAGGTCACTCATCCAAGGAGTGTTCCATTACACGCCCCATTTTCTGTGGATTTCTTAAAGAAATTTCACCTACCAAACCAAAAATTGCCTCAACATTTAAGAGAATATCTTCATTCAACCTAATTAATTTCAAAGACGGCTTCCAAGAATTGCAGTAAATTTAAGAAATTTTCAACCACAAATTTTGAGCTTAAAAAAATAGTGATGTATCTCTTATCAATTCTAAGGTGAAATCTTTGTTTTCCCACAAGCTGACTTGTGCTGTAAATGGCTTGCTTTTAAAGATCATGAAAACTTTGAGAAGTTTATGTTTCTAAATTTTCTTTAGTGAATTGTATATGATCAACATGTGATTATTATCTGCTTTGGTATTGAACTTCACATTGTTATCCTTCTTGGTATAATTTTTCAAGTGGTCGCCATCGTCATACTGAGGATTCTACATTATAAGCGCTTCTAATAGCGGAATTCTTGGTGGTCGCCATCGTCATACTGAGGATTCTACATTATGAGCGCTTCTAATAGCGGAAAAAATATTCCACCTATTACGCTATATGGCATTTTTTGCTTTGGTCGGGCCAGTCTCATGTCATCTTGAACTTCATAGCTCCTTATTGCTATAACATTTTAGGTGGTTATGCATTGATATCACTCTTAACCTAAAATAATATTAGGAAAGCAAATGTTATTACTGAAAAGAAATATGTGATTACAATCAAACATACAAGAACAATTACAAGCAAACACCCCTAAAGGGTATCCTAAGGGTTGTAGAGGTCGGCTAGGTGGATCAGAATGACTGGCGAGTGTGGTGGTAACAAAGGAATGCTGGTATTAGCCAGGGTTGGTGCGAAAATGCAGGGATAACAAGTATGGTTGTTGTCCTGGATGGTGACAATGAGGAGTTGGGGTGGGTAGGTGTTCCCTGGCTATCCTGGGCGGTGGCGACAAGGTGGGAGGGCTATAGAACAACAAGAACATTACTGGAAAGGAGTGGTTTGAGCGACAACAAAGAAGGAAGGGAAGGGGGAAGCGACTGGGAGGCTGAAAGAAAACAACATGGCTGAGGAGTTTCTAGATGGAGGCAGCGGGACAGCAACGACAACGATGTTGGTGGGCTGGAATTACTGAGGCAGTGAAGAGAGGAGGGGGGGCGATGGTGACAATTGTTACTACAAAAAATAGCAATCAAAATGTTCTCTGGGCTGCTGCAACAATGAAGGGCGACCGGTAGCAATGTGGGGAGGACGCGAAAGTGGGTAGGGAAGATATACACAACTTTGAGACCATGAGACAGTCGAAGTACCACTTGAAGCCTAGGGTACAATTCTCAAAGAGAAGAAGAAATGTCAACTACTGTCCTGATACAAAAGACACAAAACTACCAATCTAAAGCACTAGAAGCAAATATATAATTCTAGATAGTTAAGGATCAAGCCCACAACTTAAAGGAGGTGCCAAATCCGAATAAGGGGGCCGATCGGCTCTCCCTCTTGCCTGAACCAGTCGGTCCAAGCACTAGACATAGGAGGGGGACTTTGCTCTCAAGTGCGTCCCCCGCTAGAAGGGACTTCTCCATCGGTCTTCCGGGGATGGGCGAGATTCTATCTCATTCGTTGAAGTTTCTGTCTCCTCATGGTGTAATGTCAAATCGGTCGCATTGAAGGTGGAGTTATTGTAATTTCCCGATAAGTCAATACTGTTGGTGTTGTCGTTCCAAAAAAATATCCTGATAGAATGAATATTCAACCTCTTGGCACAACTTAAATTGGAGCTACATGTGGATGAGTATTCTCACGAACCAAGTATGTAAGGAAGATTCAACTCTAGGATAAAATCTATGGCAGACTGAGCAACTTTCACTAGCAACCACATAGGAGAGACCTATTCTTATTCTTTGATAGATATTTTCTTCACCCTCCTGTTTCGACATCTATCGTTGGGTATATTGTTGAATTGAATTTAATATCCGAATAATTTTATATAGTCTTCTAAACGTAGTAAAAAGAATCTCATCGCTGACATATTGGGCCTCCCTTAATAGAGCAGCTCAAGAAATAAATTATATATCTGAAATTCTAAAATTCTCTTATATGGGCTTGCCATGTGTCTAGTGTCAGTTCCTCATACTTAGAACCGTCTTGGGCCACTAATGTTAATTCGATTGGAGTTTCTCTCATGGGTCTCAGCTTGAACTACATGCTTTTCTCCCCGTTCAGTTGAATCTGATACTTCTCTTTTGTATCATCATCTTCTTCAGTGTCTTCTGTGCCATTACCTATTTCTTCAACAACTTTTTGGTCAGTATAATAGATTATCTCCTTGGTTGTGCAATTTGATTCAATATGCCCAAATTTGGGGTCAGTTTGGATTTATGTTGGATGTACTCTTGTTGCTTAATCCAAGTGTTAACTCTGCCTATATGATGTGGCGGACACCCAGGGATGTAATTGCTGAGGTTTTTACGGATATATCTTTCCTATAATGTGCGGGTAGGTACCGGTGCTGCAATTCTTTTTTCATCTTAGAACAATTAGTGATCATGTCTTTTCCCTCATGCTGGCGTAGCTCCTTAAAATTTTCTCATCAAAATATGCACTCTTCTTTAACTTGCGGGCGGCTAGCTTTTACCATTTAGTTTAGTGGGACATCTTGATACTCAAAGACAGTTGCATAGGTGCTTCAACTTTAACGCATTTGGGAATGCCATATTGCTCTCAAATATAAGTTATTGTTTAATATGCAAATTTTGAATTGTCAAATTTTTTCTGCACATGTTACACTTACACTGTTAAGATTAATTAGAGTAAAATTTGACTGTGCTATCACCCTAATCCTATTCATTTCCATGCACAATCTAATATATTTACTTATCTCACACCTAAACTTTTATAGGCACACACAGAGCACCCAATTTAATATCACTTGAAAAATAGCGCTATTAAAGTGGTGCATATTTTCATGCATAGGTTTAAAGCACAAAAATCCTGATTATATTGATGATACACGTGCCAATTGTGTGGATGAGCAGAGTTGGGCAAAGGATATAAAAAAACATATGTAGCCAATTGTGTGAATTGTCAAAACTTGCCTGAACACCTGTTAAAATTAATTAGAATGAAATTTGATTATATTATCACCGTTAATCTTATTTTAGACTATGATTATATTTTCTTGTTTCTTATTTTAAACTGCTGTATTGAGCATCTCTATGCTTGTGATCGGTTATGCATGTTGGAAGGAAATCTTAATGTACAAGTGCAGAAATTTTAGCTTGGTGAATACAGAATCAAATTATTATTATTATTTATTAAGTGCATTTACATACATACCGGTAGATTCCTATTTATTTATATATCTAACACCTAAATTTTATTTTTTTACACTTATACCACCAAAATCTTTCAAATCTGAAAAAAAACACCACTATTTTAACTTCAAAAGTCAAATACAACTTTTCAGGCATAAGTAAGGTGGCATGCATGTAAAAATTGAATTTTAGGTGCTAGATATGTCAATACATAGGAATTGACTGGTATGTATGTAAATCTTTCTATTTATTAATTTGCTATAAGAGAACAAAAAGTGCCAGTTTTTCTGTTGAAAGGATCTACAAGCTTCTTTAGGAGCGTTAAGGATGATATCACATGAGTAGAGCTTGAGCAGATCGTTTGCAGTTTATTGAACTTTTGCTTTCCTCTCCCTACCTTTTTTTTTTTTCAGATGTAGTCTAAACTAAAAATGTTATGTAAAACAGGTTTTTCACAAGAGAATGCCCCCAGAAGCAATGGATCTTACTTCTCGACTTCTGCAATATTCGCCAATTCTACGCTACACTGCTGTAAGATATCATTATATGCCTTTTGATAATAACTGCACCTGTCGGTATGGTAATCCAACGTTATTTATCGAATAATTTTCCTCCAACTAAAGTGCCAAAATAGTCCCCTGACTATTTACATGGTTATTCCCAGATTTTATGCACCTGTCGGTATGGTAATCCAACGTTATTTATCGAGTAATTTTCCTCCAACTAAATTGCCAAAATAGTCCCCTGACTATTTACACGGTTAGTCCCAGATTTTATAGAAGTGCCAAAATTAGTCTCCATACTCTTTTAATAATGGCTAAAATAATCTCCCACGAGATTATTTGGGAGATTATTTTGAACCCCATTAAAAGTCAAGGTGGTCAATTGACACTTTTATAGACTCCGGGACTAACATAGCTAAATAACTGAAAATTTTGAAGAATTTGTGTATGATACAAAGGGCTTATTTGGGATCAATTTTAGTTTTGATTTTTATTTTTGATTTTTTTATTTTAAAAACATATTTATTTGATTTATTTCTTACAAGTTCTATTTTTTATTTTTTATTTTTTAATGTTCTTATTTAGTTGGAAGCTTGCGCTCATCCCTTCTTCGATGAGTTAAGAGAACCCAATGCCCGACTGCCAAATGGTCGCCCTTTCCCTCCCCTCTTTAACTTCAAGGAAGAGGTAACTCTCTATTTGAAATATAAATTGTCAATTATAATCTCTACTACCATTTTAGTATGCTTTTAAAGCATTTTCATAGTAGTTTTGATAGTTTTTATAGTTATCTCAAGTGTAAAGGCTTAAAAAAAAAAAAAAAAAAAAATTAAGGGCTCTATTAAGGCCAAATTTCCAAGGTGATATTCTTTAGAAAGATTTACATGCATACCATTCAGTTCTTATGTGATTACATATCTAATAATTAAAACTTCAATTTTTAGCATGTATGCCAACTTACCTCTGCATGAAAAGTTGTATTTCAATTCTTAAAAGTTAAAATAGTGTTACTTTTTAATTGATATGAAAGATTTGGGTGATATAAATACAAACAGCAGGGTTTAGGTGTTGGATATGTAAGTACATAGGAATTTTGTGACATGTATGTAAATGCTCCAAACAAAAAAAAAAACAGTTATAGAGTTATATTATTCAAAAATAAAATAAAGCATATAAAGAACGAAGAACATTTAATGGCTGGTTTAAAGCAACTCGGTAGAGATTGAGAACATGTGAAAGAAGTATCGCAATTTGAAGATCCATTAGCCAACCCAAAATAAAGTCTGCTAACATGAGCACATCTTGAGAAACAAAAATGACCATAAATGTTAGCAGAAATTGAAGCACAGTAACCAATCCAACAAGACAGAACTGAAACCGATGGCATAACAACAAGATCAAAACTAGGGTTGAAATTGAGCCAGGCTGGCTCAGGCTCCACTCCATAAGTGATCGGTGAACTGAGTTTGATGAGCTAACAAGCCAACCTCAAGCCAGCCCGACTTGACTTGTTGGCTTGTGAGCGGCCTCATTTGAAAAATAATTAGTTTGAAAAATAATTAATATAAAATGTATTCAAAATTAAAAATTTAAGGCTTTCTTCAAATTATTACAAATATTCTAAAGAAATGATATTTTACATTTTATATAATGTGATTTCTTATTAATTATCTTATAAATACTAAATTCTATTTGTTGTTGTTATTTTATTCTAACACTAGTTTGAATTATTATTATTTTCTCTCTTTCATAATAAATAAGTTGGCCGATGTGGGGGCTATGGAGGACCGATCGGTCCTCAAAGAGAGTGGGGTTGCCGTTCTCCCTTTCCCTTTTCTCCCCTTCCCCTCTTTTCCTTAAGCACCTTATCCAAATCAAAATTTTTGAATATTTTTATTCCTCTTTCCAAAATCTAAATTTTCATTATAATCCATTTCCTAAACTAAATTTCTAAATCAAAATTTTTGAATATATTATTCCTCTTTCCTAATTTGAAATCTTGGTTTGATTCTTTTTTCTTATTTTAAGTATTGCATAAAATAAAGTGCTTGCATCATTATAAATAGAGGATGATCTACTTAGAGTTAGAGGCCTTGTTTTTTATATCAGAAATCAGGTTTTAGCTTAGTATTTTCCCTTTCGACAGTTGTATACAACATTGAGGTAGTGTTCCGGCTGTCCCTCGTTCGAGGTGGTGTTCGTTTCCACTGGTCCGGGTGGTGCTTTGACTATAGCTCGACCCCGACGTGATATTTATCTATCCTTCCACCCTTCCTATTACTGTCCATCCGCTTCCCAGCCCTATAGCAGGCCACCGCACCTCTTCCCCAACAATCACCGGCTGCCATCCTCCCTCCAACCTGCTGCCAGCCTTCTCCCAGCAAGGCCTCAGCTCCCCATACTCCATCCCAACACTCAAACACCCTTTTTGAACAACTCAATCTTGTTGTCCACCTGCCCAAAATTTCTCCTAGCACTCAGTCGACCCACTTCCAGCAGTCTACCTTGTTGTCCAGGAGAAACATTTGCATGCGTAAGACGTATGCAGAGCTACGTACGTCCAGTAGGTTACAGGGAGGGTATTGGGGGTTATATCCGCGTTATACCCCATGTAACCTTCATGTAACTTACTTGTAACCTATCTATAACTAGTAAGTTTCGCGCTTCTGTTTTCATATATTTCTAAGTTACAGGTAGTTTACAGGGAGTTTGCAAGGAGTGTAATGCGGATATAACCCTCAATACCCTCCCTGTAACCTACCTGACGTACGCAGCGATGCGTACGTCATATGCACGCAAATATTTCTCGCTGTCCATGCCTTTCACATCGCTATCAGAGCTTCCCCACTCACTTTCCACCCTCTGAAATTGTTGATGAGTCTTCTCCGTTGCTGCCCCACCTTCCCAGCTTGCTACCCCACCTTCCAACCTACCTCCTAGCTGCCCAACAAACCTTCCCGCCATCTTAACCTGTTGGCTTCCTCCCCTAGTTCAACTTCCAACCCCTGCCGCCCCCTCTCCCACATTTACACTTGCTGTCCCAAGCCACTTGGTAAACCTCCACCGCCCTTGGGATACATTTTTGAGGTGTTAGCTTGTGTTTTTGTGTTTGTTTGTTGTTTATTTCATGTTTTGAAGAGCCGTAACCGATTTTAAATTCAATAATAATATTTATGTTTTTTTGTGGTTTGAGTTTTTTCCTCCAGTATCACTGGCTCTTGAGTCAACTTTAGCTCATAGAATTAAGCTCGAGCTCGACTCATTTACGCCCCTAATCTAATCTCAACTAACAGCAGATGAAAACCTGATAACTTCCCTTTATCAGAGTGAAATATCAAAAACCCATTGAAACAAAGCCAGCCGTCCAGATTAAGTTCATAATTGAAAGACATACTGATCACACCAAACTTGCTATAATTTCTTAGGGTCATTTTCACGCATGCCACCAAATATCTACATATTTACATATCTAAAACTTAAAGTTTGCTTTTTTACATTCATTCCACCCACACCTTTCATATCTTGTCCAAAATACCCACCATTTTAACTTTCAAAAAGTGCAATATACTCTTTCACGCATTGCTAAAGTGGCCCACTTCCAGTGGTCTACCTTGCATTTTATGCCTTTTTCATCACTGTCAGGATTTCCCCGCTCGCTGTCCAACCTCTGAAAGTGCTGACAAGCCTTCCCCACTGCTGCCCCACCTCCCAGCTTGCCATCCAACCTTCCAACCTACCTCCCAGTCGCCCAACAAACCTTCCCTTGTGACACACTTTTGAGGTGTTAGTTTGTGTCTGTGTTTGTTTGTTGTTTATTTCATGTTTTAAAGAGTCATAACCGATTTCAAATTCAATAATAATATTTGTGTTTCTTTTGTGGTTTTGGCTTTTTCCTCCAGTATCACTGGCTCTTGAGTCAACTCTTAACTCGTAGAATTAAGCTCGAGCTCGACTAATTTACACCCCTAATCTAATCTCAACTAACAGCAGATGAAAACCTTATAACTTCCCTTTATCAGCCACAAAATAACTTCACAACCACAATGCTTTAGCAAGTGATGGAAAAGTGAAATATCAAAACCCCTTGAAACAAAGCCAGCCGTCCAGACTAAGTTCATAATTGAAGGACATACTGACCACACCAAACTTGCTATAATATCTTAGGGTCATTTTCACGCATGCCACCAAATATCTATATATTTACATATCTAACACTTAAAATTTGCTTTTTTACATTCATACAACCCACATCTTTCATATCTTACCCAAAGTACCCACAATCTTAACTTTTAAAAAGTGAAATACACTCTTTCATGCATTGTTAAAGTATGCAATAATTGAGTTGTATGTCTGTAAATCTCCCAACTTCTTTATTGTTTTGTATTAATGAATTTAACAATTCTCCCTCTGGATTTACAGTTGGCTGGGTCCTCACCTGAGCTGATTAACAAGCTGATCCCAGAACACGGAAGGCGGCAGTCCGGTTTCCTTCCTAATCTGCACCTAGCTGGAACATAGCCGTTTCAGGTGCGCAGATTCAAAATTAAATTTATATGAAGGGATTCTCCCTTCTTAATTTCACACTTTTTGATGCAAATTACCATACTTGATGGCCAGCATCATGGAGCACTAATCAATTCCATATGTTTCAAGTTTAGCTGCTGTATATTATATTTTCTAGACAGTCTGTTATTAACTGAGAAAGAACTTTCAGAAACAGAGCTTATATGTTTGTGAGGCAGAAATATGTTCATTTGTACCTACAATTTGCTTGATTTATCTAAAATCCTTTTATGCTATTTATCATTATGTCCCTGCTCATCTGTTATATTATCATACCATTCAATTCCGATGTATTTACATATCTAACAACGAAGCTTTTAACTTTTATATATATGCCACCTTACCTACGTACGCATTCATGGGTGCATTTCACTTTTTAAAAGTTAAAATGATGGTATTTTTGATGTGGTAAGAAGGATTTGGGTCGTATAAATGTAAAATATAAAGTTTGGGCATGTGATTGTTGTAAGAAAGAAACAATGTTGAGAAGACATTAAATAATGATTAATATTTGATCAAATGATGCTAGTGAGGATAGAATGGCATCTTTGTAACTCCTATATTACTCTTTTGACATAAAGATTTGTGCCATCTTGTTTAAATTGAGATCAATATTGGCACCAATTTTGATGTTATGAATCGAGTTTCGATCGACAAATTTATATATCCATATGCATTAAATCTTTAGAGAAGTTGGATGAATTCTAAGGTGAGAGTTTGAGTCTCCTTCATTATTTGATTCCTGTGGAGGTACCATTGCTTATAATATTGAACACTTAGGGTCTGTTTGGGGCAGCTGCAACTTATTGAATAATATGTTGTTAAGTTGATTACAAATAATGTGTTGATAAGTTATGTGCGGTGACTATTACAAATTTTTATATTTTTGGAGAAGTCAGATCGTTGTCAGAAATTTGTCACCGTAACTATCTCCGCGCCTAGATAAGTGCGGTGTGAAAACACTGTTTTCAGTGTTTTCAAAACACATAAGTTGGTTAACAGGTCAAGTGCGTTTTTAAAACGTCGATCTCCGCGCCTAGATAAGTGCGGTGTGAAAACACTATTTTCAAAACACATAAGTTGGTTAACAGGTCAGGTGCGTTTTTAAAACGTCATCGCCCAAATAAACTGCCCCAAACGGGCCCTTAGATTATATTTTTTAAACCACCAAAATCTTTCATATTACATAAAAAATATCACTATTTCAATTTTAAAAAAGCAAAAACATGCTTTTTTATGTGTAGGTGTGGTTGGTATATATATATATATGTAAAAATTAAACTTTAGGTTTTGCATGTATGTAAATCATCCTACTATTGTGTGATAATGCATCATTGTTCACTAGATGGTGTCTAGGAAGAGATTTATTGGTGTTGCATGTACAGGAGGGGTTGCGAACAAGCTGATTACCTAAGCTACAATTTTTACATATATATCATTTTACTTCGGCATGAAAAGATGTTTTTAGTTTTTTAAAAGTTAAAATAGTGGTATTTTTTTATGTGATATAAAAGATTTAGGCGGTATAAATGCAAGAAAACAAAATTTATATGCAGAATGAGTCGTATGTGTAAAATCCCGTCAAAGTTTTATCGCAAGAAATATTTAAATGAAAGTGAGGTACACCATTTTTCCATGTATGAATTTCTAATATTAAAGTATAATAAATATAAATATTAAAATTTAGGTATTATATAGGTAAATACATAAGAATTGTGTGTTATGCATTTAATTATCTCTTTTTAAATTAATATTTTTCTCTTTTTTTTATAATAACTCATGAGCCAGCTCGAAGTTTTTAGGCTTAAACTCGAGCTGCATAAACTTAATCAATCTCAAGCTAAAGATAGCTCAAGCTTGACTCAGATCCGTTTACAACCCATAGCTTCGAAACAAAATTTCAATCACTTCTGAAAATCGCGCAAACTGTCAATGGCAAAAATGTAAAATTGTTGTGAGTGTATAGCTAATTTAACAGACATTTGTGATAATTTTAAGAGAACTCCAATTTGTTAGCCAAACAAATTTTCTTGAGCCCTACTAAACTTCCTATCCAAACTATGGACTTCTCTCATTGCTTGTAGATTACAAATGCTATTTAATATATAATATATATTATGAAAAATATTTTTTGGGCCATTTACATAACATCCAATTCTTATATTTTCATATATGTAAACACTAAACTTTATTTCTTACATTTATACCCCCAGAACTTTCCTATCACATAAAATACAACTAATTTTAACTTTTAAAAAGCGAAATACACATTTTCATGCATGACTTGGGTACAGTAAACATAAAAGTTAAAGTTCAATGGCTAGATGAGTAAATCAATAGGAATTTAATGGTATGCATGTAAATACTACCTACTTTTTTTTTACGAAAAGAATATGTATACATATATATGCATACATACATGTGTCGTGTATCCTGACCTGTTGGTTGACATCTCCACTATAAAAAACCGTAAATCACATGATTTACTGTCCGGATGTATTTCGGTGGGCCTCACTTAATTTTTTTTTTAAAACAGAAATAATCCTGACCGTAGATCACCGGTGATCTACGGTCAGGATTATTTCTGTTTTAAAAAAAAAATTAAGTGAGGCCCACCGAAATACATCCGGACAGTAAATCATGTGATTTACGGTCCGGATCGAACACCGCACGCACGATCCGTATGAAATAATTTTTCCACTATAAGACCTTTTAAGTCGAAGGGTTCAAATCCCCTCTGGCAACGTGAGCCTTAAGAAGATAGCTATATCTAAATATCTAAAAGCTAAACTTTGATTTTTTATATTCTTTACGCTCGAATCTTTCGGATCACATAAAAAATATCACAATCATTCTTTTTTTAAAATGAATACACCTTTAGGTACATGAGTGATAGCAATGTCAATATCAAAGTTTGCGGGTTAGATGTGTAAATACCTAAGAATTGTGTCCCAATTGTGTAAATCTTCCATATATATATATATATATATATATATATATATATTTGTGTGTGTGTGTGTGTGTGAGTGTGTGTGTAGTTTTTTTCTCTTTTTTTATAATTTTTTTTTGTTGTTTTTAAAAGATTTATAGTTCAAACAAAGTCTTCTAAGAACGCCAAAATTTCATAAGAGAAACATATATATGTTGCCCCCATTCCTTGTGGCCCACACTAAAGGCTAAAGCTATTCAAACATATGTCAATTCAATATCAATGTCAATGTCATTCTCTACCCAAAAATAATCCTCAAGAATACAAAGCTCCATATAAAAACAATCTCACAAATTCAATCATAGCACCGGAGTAAGCAAAAGTTTGTTCATCACATGCGCCTCCAGGTTTCCAAGCACCAGGTCGGCCATGGCTCGTCGTGTCTCGACCGTCGCGCTTCCAACGTGTGGTGTCAGCACCACATTGTCGAGCGAAAACAAGATCTCCGGCACATGAGGCTCGTGCTCAAACACGTCGAGCCCAGCCCCACCAATCCTGCCCTCCATCAACGCCTTGACGAGCTCGCCCTCATCAACATGAGATCCCCTACCAATGTTTATGAGCACGCCGTTCGGACCGAGAGCATCCATCACGTTACGGTCGACGATGTGCCTAGTTTCGGCGGTGAGCGGGCATGCCACCACGAGCACGTCAGAGTCCTTCGCCAGCGAGACGGCGTCGGGGTAGTATTTGTAGTTTGTGTTTGGTTTCTGTATTCTTGAATTGTAGCAGATGAAGCATCCAAATGCTTCAGCTCTTTTGGCAATGGCTGAGCCGATCCTCCCGAGACCAATTATCCCTATTGTTTTGCCACTGAACTGGAGGTGAAAACACAAAACTATGATAATCGACAGTTTGGGCATTTACATACATACCCCCCAAGAGTTATGTATTTACATATCTAATGCCTAAACTTTACTTTTTTACATTCATAGCACTCAAATCTTTCATATTGCATCAATGATACCGCCATTTTAGCTTTTAAGAGGCTGATTACAGCTTTTCATGCATTGGTAAGGTGGTATGAATGTAAGAAATTGAAGGTTTAGGTGTTAGATATGTAAATAGATAGGGATTGAGTGGTATGCATGTAAATCTTTCAAATATAAAATTACTGACAAGATAGACTGGGGATGTTTGTTTAGGATTTGCAATATGTCAGTCATTAGATTTGCTGAGTATGATGGCAAGAAAAACTAGTTATCATCACATGATAAATAAATTCCATGCAGAAATGATTTGTTAGTAACTTAACTTCACATGCTTTATTTTTAAATGGTACATATAAATTATATTAAATAAAACAAAATTTAATTACAGACAAGGTGCTTGGTGTCCTAATTAAGTTTAGTTAAAATCCAATTTGCACATAGTTGACATTTTTAGCTTTAATCATTACATAAAGATTCTGTACACAATTTGAGACATGGCTCAGCAGGCTGACCAGTTCACTATTATAAATATGTTGTTTTCTCTGATTAGGGTTCAACTGTTTTCTACAGTCGGAGTCTTTTTTCCCTTGTTAGGGCTGATCCAAGGACTCTGTGAATGCTTGGTTGTATTCTCCTGCAAGGAGATGATTACCACCACATATTTTCTTCCTTGTTTGCCTTGACTGCTTGCTGTCGCCCCTTCCATTCGCCCCCTCCTCACTGTTGCCGCCCTCCCCTCTCCTTCCAGATTGATGGCACCCTCCCTGCACCATGCACTTGCTGTCCAGATGCACCAACCCAGTCCAGCTTGCTGCCGCCCTCTCCACAGCCTCTTGCTTGCTGTCCGGCCGCCAAACCACCATCCCCTCGCTGCCGTTAAACCTCATTATCACCTACCGCACTTCGTTTCCACTACCATGACACGCAGCCCACCACATCTGATCCTCATCCCAGGGGGTCTTTTATGTTTGTGTCATTGTTTTCCTATTTCCAAGTGCTTTGTTTGTAATTTACTTTGAATTTAAACAATAATATTTTCATTTCGCCTGGTTTTGAGTTAACTCTGGTATCATTTAGTGTCAGAGCTAGCCAAAGAGTTCGCCTGGTTTTGAGTTAACTCTGGTATCATTTAGTATCAGAGCTAGCCAAAGAGTAGTCCTATCCTAGGATTTCTAGCCTTCCTACACATCTCCACTTTTCAGAATTTTTTTTCCTATCCTAAATACCCTCCTCTTCCACTTCCACTCCCACTCCCACAAATCCAAACGTTAACCATGTTACCAACAACCCACATGCTGGAACTTACCCGGGAAGAGATACAACGAGAGATCCGTCGACTGCAGCAGAGGCTTGCGAAGATTGATGACAAACCCCAAGGAAGATTACCCACGATCGTGACTCAAATGGGAGAATCTGAATCAATTTCATAGGGACGACTTTAGAGTGGAGGAGGACGGACGCTCTTAAAATTTATTATCAAATGAGGTCGAGAGAGAAGACAATGTGTAGATGATAGCGAGATTTAATAATAAAAATGAATCTATTGGACTTGGATGGAGGGGATGGATCCAGATGATTTCATCGAATGGTTGCAGTCGGTTGAGAAAATCTTCGAGTATAAAAAGGTGCCAAAAGATAAGAGGGTGAAACTTACATCCATCAAATTAAAAGAGCGCTTCTTTGTGGTGTGAAAACTTGTAGAGGCAAATAAGCAAAGAAGTGACAAGATTGCTAGATGGAAGAAGATGCAGAGCAGATTACTTGCCTAATCACTACCATCAGAATATGTTTATGTGGTTTCATCACCTAAAACAAAGAGACATAGTAGTGGAGTTCATGACATAGTTTGACCAACTACAAACGAATGTGAGTTAGCATAGCCAGACGAACATATCATAGCCCAATATCTGGGGGGGCCAGAAGCCCCTTATTAGTGTCATTGTGCAACTGCAGCCCTATTGGTCACTGGGAGATGTCCAAATCGTAGCCTTGAAGGTGGAGAGACAGCAAAAAAAAAGTTGACAACCGCCCTCATTCAGACAACCACCTACTGCTATAGCTAACAATAAGGGTACGTCTCGAGAAATTGGGAATACCAGACAGGGAAGTGACAATCCATCTCTGAGTAGAAAGAAACCCTAAAAGATTATTTCTCCCAGTACAGCGCCTGTCAGGAGATATTTAATGTGCCACAGCTATGGACGCAGCCTTGAGCTGCCCCACAAGTCGAGTTGTTTCATTCACTAAACAAGGTGTGGTCGAGGACATGAGTGAAGAGAAAGCAGAGGAGGACCAGAACAAGGAACTTGAACTCCAGAGAGATAAGGGAGAAATGGTAGTCATAAGGAGGGTCTTGCAGGCTAGGTCAAAGAATTATTATTCATGGCTAAAGCAAAGTATTTTCCACACCAAGTGCACTAAGAAAGTAAAAGTCTGCAACATGATTATTGACAGTGGAAATTATGAGAATGTAATATCCACTCTGATGTGAAGAAATTGGTGTTTTCCACACGAACCATCCTCAATCCTACTCCCTTAGTTGAAAAGGGGAAATGAGATATGAGTGGATCAATAATGTTGGTTGAGTTTTCAAATGGAGGTCAGCTACAGAAGCAGGTGTGGTGTAAAGTGGTGTATATAGACACTTGTCATATTTTGTTGGGGAGGTCGTGGTAGTTCGATCGCAAGGTCCAACAAGACAGGTTAAAAAAAAACTTATTCATTAAAGAATGATGGAAGACACAATTCTTTTGCTCATCAGAGACAAGGAGGGGACATCACAGAAGAGACGATAGTTCCAAGAGTCACCTTTATGCAGTCGGTACGAGAGGCTCCAGTAACAATGACTTTAGTCCTGTTAGAGGGAACTGAGAAGAAGGTTGAGATACCAGAACCCATAGAACCACTGCTATGTGACTGACAACCTTCCAGAGAGATTGTCATCATTGAGAGACATTCAACATGTCATAAATCTCATCGCTGGATCAGCATTGCCAAACAGGCCTGCCTACCAATTAAGACCAGTAGAGCACAAGGAATTACAGCGACAGGTACAGTATCTCGTTAAATGGGCTTTGGTCGGAGAAAGTACAAGCCGATGTGTAGTCCCTTCCTTGATGATACCGAAGAAGGACGAATCGTGAAAGATGTGATTTGATAGTCATGCCATTAACAAGATCACTATATCAAATACAAGTTCCTCATACCTCGTCGGAAGACCTCTTAAATAGCCAGAACAAAATGAAAGGCCAACATGCATCTTGGGTGGAATTCTTGGCATCATTCCAAATTGTGCTTAAGCAAAAGGCGAGAAGCCAGAATCTAGTAGCAGATAAATCGAGCCGCCGTAATTTGTCGATCACTTCTATGCAGACTCGAGTCATAAGTTTTGAGGAAGTGAAGGAGTTGTAAGGAAATATGAAGATTTCGGAGTACATATAACCAGATTTAGATGAGTTTAGGGGACGAGAGGAAGACTGCTTTCAAAGCCTGGATGGATTATACAAGTGGACAAACATGTCTTTTCAGATTGTCTAATACGCACAACACATTAATGAGATTGATGAATTAAGTGTTTCAGATTCACATCAGGAAGTTTGTAGTGATGTACTTTGATTATACTGATATATATAGCAAATCCGAGGAGGGGCACTTACAGCACCGGAGGACGGTATTCGAGGTTTTGCGATCAGAAAAATTATACGCCCACCAAAAGAAGTGTCGCTCTTTGAAAGCACAAGGATGCTTTTGGGGTTATATTGTGTCGAATGCAGGCATTCAGATGGATCCAGCAAAGATCAAGGCCATCGTGAGCTGGACGACCCAAAGATCCTTTACCGAGTTGAGCCAATTTTTGGGGCTTTCATTATTCTATAGGTGATTCATCAAGAGCTTCAGCACCATCACAGTTCCTCTGACATAACTTTTGAAAAGGGAGAAGTTTCAGTGGATGGATGCAGCTTTGTCCTGTTTCGATACACTTAAGGAGAGGTGACTCAGGAACCAATATTAGTATTACCATACTTCAATCAGTTGTTCAAGGTGGAGTGTAAAACTCTAATGTGGGAATTGGAGCAATACTGAGACAGGGAGGCCACCCCATAGCAATCTTTAGTAAGAAGTTAAATGAGTAAAGGAGAATATACTTGACGTATGACAAAGAGTTATATGCGATCATGAAAGCTCTTAATCACTGGAGTCATTACCTGTCGACGAGCAAGTTCACCTTATATACGGATCATAAGATTTTAAAATTCTTGAATAGCCAGAACAAAATGAAGGGCCAACATGCATCTTGGGTGGAATTCTTGGCATCATTCCGATTTGTGCTTAAGCACAAGGCAAGAAGCCAGAATTTAGTAGCAGATACACCAAGCCGCCGTAATTTGTTGATCACTTCTATGCAGACTCAAGTCATAAGTTTTGAGGAAGTGAAGGAGTTGTAAAGGAAATATGAAGATTTCGAAGAGATCTGCGAGCAGTGTCAGGAGAATTCTCAGATAGTATCACAGGGCTGATGGTAACTAGTTCCACTAGAATATGCTTGTACTCCTAGATGTTCGTTGAGAGAGTCCATTATTTGTGAACGTGACAATAGAAGACTTGCAGAACACTTTGATAGGGATAAAACTCTCGCAATCGTGCAAGAACACTTTTTTTTTGCCCTAATTGATGAGAGATGTGAAGCAGTGCATCAGACAGTGCAAAATTTATCATATGGCCAAAACCAGAGGACAAAATGCAAGACTATATACTCCTTTACCAATACTGAATGCCCCATGGGTGGATGTTAGCATGAATTTTATGGAGAGTCTTCCGAGGACACAGAGGAACATGAACTCTGTGATGGTTGTAGATAGCTTCTCGAAGATGATGTATTTCATACA